GGCGGCGGGCCAGGGCACGGGGTGGCTCGCCGTCCTCGGGGTCGCAGGGGTAGCGCCCCTCCAGCACGTTCAGCTTGGCCTCCTCATACAGCAGCCGCAGTACCTCTGGGCTCTCCACCTGCCAAGCGCCACGGCCTCCCCGTCAGGGCTAGGCAGATCCCGGCCGTCCTCAAGCCTCCCCCGCCCCCCGGATCGGGGTCCCCCCATGCTCACCTGCAGCTCCCGGTGCTTGGGGAAGAACACGTTACGGCGGAACTGCAGGGCTGGCTCGTCTGCGGGGCAGAGACAGGGCTGAGAGGGGGCAGCCCAGGCGCCTGGGCCTCCAGCCCGCCCTGCTCTCAACCGGCACCCCCACGCCCTTCCTACAGACCCTAGGAGTCCCAACTCCCACCCCCACGAAACCCAGGTGTCTGGGGCACCGGCTCCCCCCACCCCAACTCCCCTCGGAGCTGGAGAGACCCCAGGCGTCCGGGCCCCCAGCCCTTTCCATCCTCCAGTACAAGTGCAGCGGTTCCAGCCTCGCACTTGGGGCCTGTCACACCAGCTGGGAGCTTTGCACATGCGTGTACGTGCACACACACCTTGCGCGATCTCCTCCTCAGAGCAGTCCGTGAAGCGGAAGAGCAGCTCCGGCCACTGCCGGCAAAGCTTGTAGGGCTGGTGCCGCGGCTTCAGCTGCACCTCTGGGGGCAGGGGGAGCGCAGGGGCCCGTCAGCGCAGGGAACCCAGGTGTCTGGGCTCTCCCCTCCCAGAGCGGGAGAGAACCCAGGCGCCGAGCCCATACAAGGCTCCTGTGAGGCCCGTCCTGGCCCCTGCACCCTTTGGGGCTGCCTGTGCCTCAGTTTCCCCTGCTGCACCCGCGGGGCACTCACCCAGCAGTGGAGAGATGAGCCAGAGGGCAAAGGCGTCGGCAGCGACGTCAGGAAGCTGCAGGGCGTCACGCAGGCCGCGGTGCAGCTCGTGGGCGCTGACTGAGGGCAGGTTCTCCACCGCCAGCGGCACCGGCGTGTCGTCCACCAGATACACCACCACGTCCAGCACTGCCGAGGGACCGGGCATCCAGACGCTCAGCACCCACCGCCCCGCACCCCGCTGGGGCCAGACCCCAGTCCCTCCCAGACAACCGGGGTGTCCGGGCTCCCAGGACCCTTGCTCTCACCCCCAGACCCCGCTCCCCTCCTGAGAACCCAGGCAACCCACCTCGGGCGCCGGTGGAGGAGACGCTGCTGCGCTGGGAGCGCTGGGCCGGGCTGGGGGGCACAGCCGCCCCCTCCTCGTTCTCCATCTGCACCGGGGGGGGGGGGTGTCACATGAGATCGCCCCCAAACTCAGG